GTAGGCTGGAGGTGAGCGAGAGTTGGCGGGCAACTTCGCGCACGAAATCTTTGATCTGCAAGAGGAGGATCAGGTCTTGCGAGGGAGTTAAGCCGGACATCGATTCTTGATGTGGGACAGCACGTTGGGTGACGAGACGTTGCCGGCGGAGCTCATCAAAACTTTGGCAGAGCTTGGTAACTTGGGCAACAGCAGCAGGGCTTTTTGAATGAGCATCTGGAAGGCGTCCTCGTCGATACCCTTTAAAATATGCTTGATGAGGTCCACCTCTGTCCTGTTCGCATCGACGCGTTTGCAAAAGTCAATGACGTCTTCTATGTAACTTGTCAAATTCTCACCAGGCAGTTGAGATCTCGACTGAAGGTGCTGTTTCGCACGAAGTTTGAAAACAGCAGGACCACCGAAGACTTCGCTGAACTTTGCCTAGATTGCTGTGCAGGTGGGAACGTTGGGCTCATGGTTCCGAAGCCACAAGTGGGCAAAGCCACTGAGGTAAATGCCGACAGTGGCCAGTCTCGTGGCTTCGTCTCATTTGTTCAAGACACTCACGAAATCGTAAGTAGCCAGCCAGTCGTCGGCGTCGTGATCGTCAGTGCCGCTGAATATGGAAGGATCCCACTGACGGACCGCGCCAGAGGACACGATGGCCTGGGGAGCCACAGGTGGAATGTTGTGGCAGGTGCAGTTGTCATGACGGCAGGTCGGGTCTGGCTTCGCAACTCCAGGATTGCAAGGAGACCCAGCAAACTCTACCAAATAAAATAAAGAACTGTGACAGTCAGAACTGTTATTCGAGACCAGGTAGGAGCGTAGGCCTAGCCAGCGTAATCAGCGACAACGTCCGGGCCGAGGGTCTCGTGCTTAGCACTGACAGTGTGCTTGCCGAGCTTTGCATGACACACAACACTCATCAATACAGTTGCAATAGTTTATGCGAGTTACTCAACAAAGCAATCGTCATCAGCGAATCGCAAATTACTAAGGTATACTCTTCATGAAACGTTATCGCATGCTGTTCGCAATCCAACGCTGTGAAAGCCTCCTTTAAAAATACAGTCACCAACATTGCAGAGATTATATATTGTGGGCGTTTGTTACTTACATCGTTCTCATCACTGCATGATCATAATCACCATCATCCGCTAGCCTCTTCCTCATGGCCCCTCTGTGCCATCATCATCGTCATCGTCTCTATACTGGCTCTGCCCGTTCGTTTTGCGAGGTCTTTCCTCAATTAAACGCTGTCGCAACCAAGACTACCAAGACTTCATACGTGGTGGAGGTGGATTTTCGGTCGTCTAACCTCCCGCAGCCCACTCTACCCCCTGGAGCTTCGTTCAGGCCACCGATTGCGCCCACTGTCAGGCAGCATGTCCCAGACCGAGCCTGCCGGCGCTGATGTCATCAACCACGCTCCGACGCAAGCTGCCCTTCCTATTTACATACACGGACATCAGCGGGCACCCCCGCTCTTCGCTGGTCTTCGTGGAAAAGACGTAGAAGACTGGCTCGATGACTACTACCGCGTAAGTGTCGCTAATCGGTGGGACGAGGCCGCCAAACTGCGTTACGTCCCTTTTTTTCTGACCGGAGTCACAAAGACATAGCATTTTAACTATGTCATTGACTTACTCGACTGGGCTACCTTCCAGCAGCAGCTGCGACACGTTTTCGAGACCCCGTACATTCAATCCGCCGTCATAATATGTATAGCTCCCTGACATACATTACTCCTATTTGAAATTTTATTTTGTTTTTTTTTTCATGGATAATTTGGTGACGGTGGAGACACTGCAGATATACCACAGCAATTGCACAGCGCCTTTGGAGGTCGGTGGCTGGTGACCCGAAAGGTTTAGGTTCGGTACCGGCCGCAATGGTCGCATTTTGATGGAGGTAGAACGGTAGAAGACCATGTAGTCTGCAATGTCAGTGTACCCTAAAGAACACCATGTGGTCACAATTACGAGAGTCCTCTCCGGTGGGCCTCATGGTCGCATCATGAACTAGAGAGCCCAGATAGTTTTAATACCTCCAGTTTATTGAAGAAATCATGTATCAACGAGCATTAAAATGTGGTTATTTTGTTTGCGTTTCTTGTTTAGATGAGTACTTGTAGGAACTAAGGGAAGTGATCAGCAGATAATATGTGTGGGATCATATGTTTGATATGTATCAATTAGTTTGTCCCACAAACCAACACCTGCTAGAACGATGACCTTGTACTTGAATAACCATAGTATATAGTAAATTTGGAGGTTTGACTTTCAAAAACGAGCATATGATTACGAATTATGCAGTAGTGGAGGGTTCGGAGAATATCGGTCGCCAGAGATGCTTGAAGGGGCCCCTTATTTAAGCACACAGGCCGCAAGTATTTTCACCTTTATAAAAATTGCGGCCACAGCGGCCATGCTTTCTACTTTGAACCATATGTTAGTAACACCGTGTTAGTTTGCGAGACCGAGTTTGCGGCCACATTTCGATTGACGCTATTGGCAAAAAGCTCGTGTGCTCAGATTTAGAAGCACGTTAACCGCACGTCATCGAATTACTGTGCCCTGCACTACGACATCTCTTACATTAATATCGCATTTTCGATCGCAAAACCACCAACAATTTTATAAGAAGTATAACCGCTTTCTATGCCGACAGAGAAAGCTAAGTAGTACAAAAAAGATAAAAAAACGCAAAGATGACAGCATAACCTACGCTACAAGCTAAGTAACTTAAATATCAACATTGACGCAGGAAAATATTTTAGACAGAGGAAAATATTTGCTCAGTTTTCGCTGAGTCGTGGCTGGTGCAGAGCAAAGCAAGTTTTCACTGACTTGTTCAGGTTTTGCTAGGCACACGTTCACTCGCACTCGTTCACTCGCCATGGACAAATTTTTCACGCCATCACATTGCAATTCACGAGAATTTGCTAAGTATCGATCGGGTTCCATTGAGGATCACTTCGCAATCGCAGCACCGAGTACCCTCCATTTTTAAATAAACTATTGGCCTAATTTGCGTATCCGAAGCTTGGTCTCAATTAGGTGGCATGTTATGTTAGCTTTAGCTTACTTAGCTAATTATATGAATTAGCGCTATATTTAGGCTCTATCTTAGCTAGCATTAGGCTAAGCTCCACACATCTTATTTTGCGTGGCTTCATCAGGCATAGGAGATTTTCAGCTCAGCTTAAATAATATTTATTACGGTGTGATTTCATTACCCAAGTTATGCGTAGCTAATCAGGTTTTACGATGCTCAACGTGGCTTTATAAGGCTTGCCCATGGTTAATTTGGTTTACCTATAAATAAATTTTTAGCTCCGAAATAAAGTTCTACTTGTTCGTTTTTGTTTGATTGGTGGAAAAAAGAACCGCAAGACATTACTATGGGGAATGGCGCGAGTGGTTGAAAAATTCAATTTGCGCGTGGTTACACGGAACAGGTGGTGCCATCTAGCGTGTCGTAGTAGATGCAAATGTGTTTGCAATCTCGAAGCCAATGGCGAGAAATCGATCAAGGGCTGTTGCTACTGCTGTGGCTCTCGCTTCTCTCAAACTGCTGGTACTAGTGCAGTAAAGCCGGACAACTTTGTGCACAGCAACAGGTATGTAAGATGTTTCGGTCGGTCCGCTTCTTGAGGCGGGTAACTTGAAGAGCGCTAACCCAGTGCAGAGCACTGAAACGTGATTTCATTTCAAAATAGGCCCTTCTTTGGCACGAAAGTAACACTACGAGGTTTCTGGGCCGCAATTTCAACAATCAACGTTAACCGAATAGTTGGCTTTAGCGTCCCTTCAAGGGTATGTAACCTTAAGTTCTGTTGAAAATGCTAATGCTTGGTTGATTACCAAAGTAAGTAACCATCACCAAAGTTGCCAGAAATTTTTTTTCGTTTCACTTTTTCTGATTTAGCATGATAGGGGTTATAGAAACCGGCGGCAGTGGCAGAAGAAAACCTAGGCTTGTACGCCCATATGTAGATCTCCACATAAAGACGGTGAATTATCTTTGCTTTTTTGGTAAGCTGTCTCAGGTGCACAGAGCCTCCTGTAGCAACGCGATCCTATAGACAAAAAAAAAAGGAATAAATACGTTTGCTCTTGCGCACACAAAAAAATCTGTACCGCCAAACTTCTTTGTTGTTGTTTTTTCACTTGTTTGCATTCGTACGTCCGTAAGGTGACGTAAATGCTGCAGCGAAACACCAACGTATCTCATAGGCGTCCCACTTGATAACTTGTATTTCTGTTGGACTGCTTTCATAGTGCCCATCCAAGATGCCCGCTTATTTGCCAGAGTTAATAACACCACCTGATGTTTTACAGAACTATTTTGTCACAACGGCTACTTTTGAAACGCTTTCCTTGTTAGAACAAAGAAGCGGTACGTCATCCACATAATATAGTAGCTTCACTTCACTTGGGCCAACACGGTAACCTACTATGTCAATGCACGCAAGTACTTTGAAACAAAGGGACACAAAGGCACGCCAAAGGCAGAGACAGCGAGTAGTATTACTTGACCTTCAAGCATGACCATGCGCTGCATTGCATCTTCATAGCGGAACCAAAGTCCTACTTGGCTGAAAAGTGGCATTAAAATCAAAACTATGTTGTTCACAACACAATCCTTTTCAAGATTTTAGGTATTTCTAACCTTTGTCTGGGGCAGCGAAAAGAATATGACAGAAAGTTTAGCTGATATGTCAGCTGACCTTTTTTTAATTCGTGGTTAAGTTATGTCTTTCTTTCCTCTCATTGCACGCTGATCATCTTAACCTGTCGAAACCATTTGGACGTCTTTTTGTAACACGCAGCAGACTGACGTCTGAGATTTCGTGATAGCTGAAATTTCGTTCAACTTCAAAGAAAAGATATATTGCAGAGCATGACAAAAGGGTTATTCAAAGCTCAATCTGCAGGAAGCTAGAATCACCGAAAAGAGAGCAAAGGACGTTGCACTTTCCTCGCATGCACCTTTCTTTTTAGCAGTCTCACCTGTTCATAAAGAATTCGTGAAGGTCTAAGGTGCCCATCGTGGTCTCGACAGTGAAGTTAGGAAACATGTCCCCGAGGTTCACCATCTCGCACCGGAAACAGGAAACTAAAGTTCACCGAGACGCTGCTTCCCCGCGGACGCAAGTGCGACGCTCCCGAACCAAACTTGCCGAGATGTGGTTGGTTGCTCTCTCATGAGCCGTGTTCGATTAGACGTTAGAGGGCACTGGTCCAATCGAAGGCCACCTCATTATGCTTTTCAGGCTCATTAAACACCATCATTCATTTGCTCAACGAATCAATTGGGAAGGTGAGCCGCCCAATATGTGTCTTGGAAAAGAAATGCAGTGGGCCTTCCCAAGCGTATCCTTGCGTGCGTTTGGAGGTCATACATGAGGTCTTAGAACGGCGTGATCGACAAGATTGAAGAAAAAGAAAGGCTGGACATTCGTCTGAAGCCAAATTATACCTTTCTTTAGGGTTAAACTTGTTATTATTGTTGTTGTTGATGGTTTTACTGATATAATCAATATTTCTATGCATGTTTATTTCAGATTACTGAAATAAACATGCATAGGGCGGCGCAGATGATTGTTAGGTTGGTTATTATAGAGGTAAAACACACACACACACACACGCACACGCCCACACACACACGCACACACACACACAGGTGCGCGTATTCTTAAAAGTTATTCTTGTTGTCCTTGACCAACCACAAACATTACTATCACGTGTTTTAAAGACGATAGTCTTTCTTGTGGACCTTCGACGCAAAAATTATGGTCTGTCTGTGTGTCTGTGTGTCTGTGTGTCTGTCTGTGTGTCTGTGTGTCTGTCTTTCTGTACATTTGTCTGTTTGTCCACTCTTACCAGCATTGGGTACTTGAAACGGCTGACCCCATACACAGCGACCACCATTGTTGCTCAAGGTTGAGCGTTCATGCGTGTGAAATTGTCAATCAAAAAGCAATTATTGCGCATGCCTGGGGCACCATAACAACACGCATATGTTCTGCATATGCATCTCTTACTATAAAACGCGTGCATAAGTAATTTTAGGACCGTAGCGCTGATCACCCTGCGCTTACCATGCAACGCTTTCACGGAACGGGGAGTGTTTCCAACGCTTTGCTAAGACGAGATGGTAGTGGCACCTACTCGTCGCCTCACGTTCTACACCTTATCACCTCTGAGACGGGCGCGGACGGCCACGCGCTTTGTTTTCCAAAAGAAACTGCCAGATGGCGCTCATGTCTCACGTGTAACGTGACTTGGTGCGCTCGTTCGCCTCCGCTGCAAGCTCGAGGCACTCTAACGCAGCGCCTCCGGAATACCATTCACCGATTTTCTCGTGCAGAACATCAAATAAATGTTTTGTTCACTGTCTCCACACGCAAGACTATTGCCTTTCGACGCCATTTGCAGATTACATGCACATATGGGGACAATTTTTTTCGTTCCTGATTATGCTTGGATAAAGAACGAGACCTGCCATTCTGCAGGAACATTTTTCTACATTTATACATGAAGTTCGCGCGCTTTCCTCTTCTTAATAGTAGCTCAGCTAAAGAATTTGTTTGGAAGTTGCCATTTAAAAATATACAGAAGGACCACGGGCTAAACACCTTACGGCTTTCAAACCGTGTGATGTCGAAACGGGGCTGGAACGCTCTAAAAACTAAAAGAGTGCTGGGCACACTCTTTGAGAGAGTACTTTCTTGTACCATATTTCGCTCTCTTCATTCGTACGGTCGATCCCCCAGGCCAGTGGCCTGAAAACTGTTTTGAACTTACCACAAATGAGTGATATATCCTTTTGCGAGCAGGGAATAATAACGCTACTACGAAAAGTGAATGTGAAGACAGCCCCCGGACCCGATCACATTTCTAATTATGTATTAAAGAATTATGCTGCATCGTTTGCCCCTTTTCTAACGATTCTCTATCAAAAGCCATTTCATTCCGGTACTTTACCGCGTGACTGGAAAACAGCAAATGTAGTTCCTATATTCAAAAGCGGCAATAACATACAGAGTCAAAACTACAGACCTATTTCACTAACTAGTGTTTCATACAAGGTACTAGAGCATATCATTTACGCTAACCTCATGGCTCATCTCCAAGAAAACAATTTTTTCACCCCAGCACAGCATGGTTTTAGGAGAGGTCTCTCATGCGACACTCAATTGATTGTGTTTTCTCATGATATAGCTTTGTCGATTAATAATGGCAAACAGGTGGACTGTATTTTCTTAGACTTCCAAAAGGCCTTCGACTCGGTAGCACACAATTTATTACTTGTAAAACTGTCTGCACTTAGTATTCGCACGGTGCTTTTCCAGTGGATTGAGGCTTACCTTAGTGACCGAAAACAGTGTGTTGTTCTTAACGGAATGACCTCATCACATAAAGCAGTCTTGTCAGGTGTTCCTCAGGGATCTGTACTCGGGCCTCTTCTTTTTTTTATATTTATCAATGATATAGGCGAAGGAGTATCAAGTCGTCTCAGATTGTATGCCGATGACTGTTGTCTTTTCCGTGAAATTAATACTTTGAATGACAGTGTACAACTACAAAGTGACCTCGACAAGATACAACTATGGTGCAATACGTGGAATATGACGCTAAATTTTTCTAATTGTAACATTGTCCAGTTTTCTACAAAAGTCATACTTTACATACGAAATACTCTCTTGATGGCGAAAGCCGCGCGATTGTACCCAGCTACAAATATTTATGGGTTTTTACAAAAATGACTTTTCCTGGAATGACCATATTGATTACGTAGCAGCGAAGGCTAGTCGGGTCCTCAACTTCAAGCAAGCTCCCCCTAAGTTATAAGAAAGTCTTTACTTTTCAAATGTTCGCACTATATTAGAATATGGATGTTCCGCTTGGGACCCCGGTCCTAAGACATGTATTGACGAATTAGAGCGCATCTAAAAGCGTGCAGCACGATTTGTATCATCAAACTATGATTTCAGAAAAAGCTCTGCCGATATACGGGACAATCTTGGATGGCCGTCTTTGCAGGATAGGCGGAAGTGCATACGCCTGAAACTGTTCCACAAACATTTTATAGGTGCAACAGGCTTAAAGAAAGAAACCTACATACTTGATCCTACCTATAGATCTGCCCGCGTAGACCATTCCCTGAAGGTTCAGGAATATAGGTGTCGGATCAACCTATATAAACATTGTTTTTTTCCAAGGACAGTCCATGACTGGAATAGTCTCCCGAATGAAGTTGTACTGTCATTGCCAACTTCCTTTGATGAAGCCCTCGGAGAATGTTTGTTTAACTAGGTTTTACATGACATATGTGGGATATTTTGAACTTTAGCTCACCATTTACAGCTTCTGCCTAGTTGTGCTTCTACTGTCTTTCTTATGAGGTTATGTATCTATAAAGTTAATTTATGTTTAAAAGTTTTTACTTTAATATTATGTTTTGCTGCTTTTTCGTATTGTACAACCTGTATCAACCTTTTAGTAACGTGATGTTTAGTCTTTTTATAATGTTATTTATGTGTAGAGTGTTGATGTTATCGTTATTCCTACATAATGTTTGTTGCTTTTAACGTTGTATATACTACCTGTATCTTTTCCTGTTTGTTTCCCCCCTACAATAATGCCTAGTTGGGCGCTGTAGGTATCTGAATAAATAAATAAATAAATACTAAGCTGCACTCAAACCTTTGACCTCTAGACGCACAACAGACTGCGAGCCTGACACACTAACCACTACACCTCACAGAAAGGCCAAGGATAGGTGTTAATTTATTTATGTTATAAATATTGTTTTTATTATATCTGAATTTTCTGGTTGAGACGCGTATACTTAGGTGTCTCTGCGCTTCTCAAAACGAACCAGAGTGTAGCTAACCTGTTTACTGTGTTTGTTTAGTGCTTCGTTACATCAGAACATCTATGCGACACGTTTTTTTTTACAATGGAAGAAGGAAGATTAGGGCATCTGATTATATGAGACTTATTTGCACTGACTCACTAAGTGGTTAGTCATTTCTGCCTACGAAACATCGCGGATTGGAAAAGTACACTAAACAATTTAGTTTTTATTAGCACCTCTTTGGACATACCTTTGGTCATTTTTGTTCATGTTCTATGACTAAAGCCACGATACTTCCCTGTAGCTGTACAGTACGTTAGGTTTACGGCACCATCGCCCGTGTGCGATGGTCGTAGCGCAAAACATCAATGTACATATAAGGAGAATGTCATAGCCGTTTGCGTTGCGTTTCGATCGTGACTGATTGGACGAGATATTATTCGCTTGTTTTAGTACACAGATCCCAGGCTAAAAACGTGTGTATTAAGAGTTCCAAGTGCCTTCCAGTGTGCTGAAATTCACTGGCGCGCACTGGAAACGCTATTATTTTTGTTAATAATCTCTAACGTCTAAAAAGAAATTCAGTACGTTTTACTGCATATATTGGTGGTTATTAGGTAGTGCTAATCACTCGCGGTGTGCCGACGCATCTAAAAGTACTCAAGAGCAAGAGTGAAACCGCGTTGTACTCTCTCATGCCTGAAAAATATGTGGGCTTTTCACTCTCTCAAAAAGAGACATAGTAGAAAGCTGTTTCACTCTCCCGTTTCATACAGAGTGAAATTAAATTTCGCTCTATCTGATGCTTTGCGAGAGTAGAAGAACACTCTGAAAAGTAACTTGGCCTTTTTACTCCTGCGTTACCGTCTGCAGTTTTGGAGTGTAGAACCGGTTTCTTGTAGCAGGAAAGTTAAATCGGAATCTTCAGAGTTGTGCTCTCGAGCCCCTCAGTACTGGCATTTGCGTCGCAGAAAGGCGTTTGGCTCCGCATTGGAGCTTCACTCGAGAGTTTGGGGACAGCAATAATTATATTTGTTTTTTTTTTCAGTGCGAGATCTACATGAGCTGCTCAGTCGAGGCCGCTAGAGCTGATATGAAAGCGCCGCTGAGGTTTGCTGAAAGAGCTTGAACTTAGGCGTGTTTGATCAGCATAAAAAAACCTGTGCCTTCATGTCTTATTCCTTTTGAGCGTTATAGGTCGAAAAACTTTTCAGAGTTACAGTTTGAAGAGGA